AAATCCGACAAATCGTTTTGAGAAATAGATTTTGGAAAAGAAGTGCCAAACATGGACTGCTTTGCCAAATACAGAGTCGCCACCTAAATATTTTTTATGGGGGAATTTAGGAAACCCTGACTCGGTGCCAAAGGCCACGTGTCCGTCATCACCAAAGTTGCCTCGGCTCGGGAGCTTGGGTACGATTAGGGAAGGTCAGCTATGAGCACCCCCTCTCGCCCGATCCGAAGATCAGCCCTTACTAACCGTGATATTTGTTTTTGAAAATGTTTTGTGTTCTTATTCCGGTTATTAGCCTAGAATTACTATGTTATGCGCACAGCAAACAAGTATAGACCAAATCGCCTAAATTGGAACAAAACATAGCATGTTTGTTTTGAAAATGGTTTGCTACTCGCAAGTAGGCTGAAATACAGGTTTTGCCACCCTCAAGTGGGCTTAAAATTCACAGTTTTAATGCATTATTCCAATTTAGGTAATTCGACATCCACCCATAGGCATTCAAGCAGTTATATCACATAAGCAGCTAGCCTCATGGTAATCATGCTGTTATGGCAACACTCACACGCATGCGGTATGCTAAAGCATAAATGCTTACCGAGTACTCCAAGCCAAAACAGAAACTAGTTAGTAATCATATGCATGATCCTAGTTCATGTTAAGATGGCTAATGCAACACATTGCAAAAATGCAAATATCCAAATGATGGCATATGAAATGCTGCAACTAACAGGTATTCAACTTGGAATTGAAATACAAGTGCAGTTAATATGATGTACCGAGCCCGGTGCATGTTGGACAATTGTATGGATGCACGCATGCATAGCATAAGGTATGCTAAAGTAAACTGTCTAAATACTAAACCATAAAAAGCAGGTAAGTAAAAGGGAGAAAGAAGTGGGGGTTGGAAGACATGCACACCCGCACCCATACTTATTATAGATTTGCCTCGCTCGGAGGGACCAAATAAATATTACAGTCCGAATACTAAATTAATTATTACAAATTGCTAATTAATTAACAAATTAAACAAAGAATTAAAGTGGCCACAGCCCCTGCCTCGAAATGCATGGATGATGCATGCTTGGCTCGTCTTGCCCAAAAATCCGTACCATGCCACTGTTGCCTCCGTTTACATGCCTTGCTCCTCGAAAATTGTGCAACTCCCAAGGTGCACTCTCTGGACACTAGGAAGCATCACCGACCAAGTAGAAACGCCACCGGCCGGAGGGGATGATCACCGGCACTGAATAAAGCATATCGGCCAAACATGTGTTGCCGGTCGGCACCAAACTCTGCTGGCCGGCCAATTCTTCCTGCTGAAACTGCAGCTGGCAGCAGCAGAGGGCAAGCAGTGTATGGCATGGAAATTCAAACATGTATGCATGGTCATTCTCCCTATCATGCAATGGACTCAAGGGAGCATGGCCCTCGACCCTCGGGCCATCAATCACGCATTTCAATGCATGATGGCCCAAAAGCCAAGTGTGCAACTTCATATCAAATGAAATGCAAGCACAAAACACATCAAAGGGCCTCAACCCCTATCATGGTTGATCAAGAGGCAAGGGATGCATGCTCAATGAATGCAACCTAGCATGGAGGCTAAGTATGCAACATGAACATGCAAATGAGCAATGTATACTAGGCACGCAACCTAATCATGTAAGCAAACATGGCATGCAACAACATGGATGATGGACTTAAACTAACATGGATAACTCGCAAGCATGCCAAAATCAGCGGCCATGTGGTGAAAATGAGGCAACCAAGATGCATGCAAACATGCACAATGCAATGGCCCGATCCTAAGATACAACACGCAACTCTAACTAAGCATGGAAAATGATGAAACATGGCATATGAACACGCAAATTTCAGCACTGAAATATGATGCTAAACAGCCCCAAAACATGGAAAAATGGCACCCGATGTATGAGATGAAACCCGCAACTCGAAACTAGGCACACGGAATGACTTATAGCTATACAAAGCATGCATTATTTGATCATGAAGCATGAAGAAAGAGCCAAGACAGTCCCAAAATGTGAACATTTCTAGTTCAAAGCATGGCCAAAAAGTGCTAATAAGATGGAATAAAGTAGCATGCAACTTTGACTAGCAAACATGGTTTACATGGCAAGTGTGTGAAGCATATGGAATCTCACCAAACCAACAAAAATCAATGAACAAAACATGTGAAAATAGGCCCAAACAACCACTGAAATGATGCCAACATATGCAAAAATGATGAGCTCCTTTAGAGGGCTATGCAAGGGATTCTTAAACACATACAAGATGGACACTTAGCATAGCAAAATCAACTTTGAAAATCAAATATGGTAGTCCCAAAATTCACCAAATTGACCCTAGAAAGTGGCTTCAAAGCATGCAAGATAGGGTCTCTTTGGAAGGCCAAAATGACCACTAAACAAGTCAAGGAGAGAGGGGGTCACCCCCCTCTGATTTGGAGGCTCAAAACAGTGTGCTAGCCACTGAAAATCCACTAGATTTTAGTGGCTAGAAGGTCAAACCAAGCATGCAGCAAGAGCTTAGGTGTAAGACTCAAAATAAGGGTCAATCAAGCATACAAGGAAGCCTATGACCTCAAACAAGGAAATGCCCTAATCAAACATGAAGACAATGTCAAAAGGAGACTTTTTCCAGTTTATAACAAATCTCAAAAGTGAACACAAATAGGGCTAATCTATCATGCAAAAATGGCCCTAAAAGAGGGATAAAGAAGCAAGTGATAGCTTTTGGCCTCAAACAGAGGAGAGCTCTTTAACAAAGTTGAAGAGGGGCTCAAAACAAGACATTTCACAGTTTATGACCAGGTCCAAAACAACCCACAAATAAGCCTAAAATATCATGCAAAATAGGCCTAAAAGAGAGTTTAAACACAAAGGGTGAGGAGGAGACCTCAAACAGAGTAAGACCCTTGATCAAACATGAAGAGGAGATCAAAATATGACTATTTACAGTTTGGGTCGGAGCCCAAAAATGCTTGCAAGTATGACTTGTAAATGAACCAAGAAAAGGCTAGAAAATGGAGGAAGAAGACTCACCCTTGTAGAGCAGCAACACAGCAGCTTTTGGACCAAGAAATGGTGCTCCTATCCTCTGAAAAATAGCCTCAAGTTGCTGGAATGGAGTGTGGAGGTCTCGTGTTATGTGTTGTAGTGTAAATGGTGCAAGGCTTTAGGATTTGAAGGGTTTGAAAAGAGAAAATAAGGGTCTCGTGTTATGTCTCGTGTTATTTTATTTTATTCTATACATCAATCAATCAAAAAAATAAAATAAAAAATTACAAATCATCCCAAAATTATTTTCAAAACTCATAACCAAACAAATTTTCTCTTTTCAAATTAAAATTCAAAAACTTAAAACTCAAAACATAACTTCACATTCAAATCATAATTCTAAAATTAAAGCAAACCGACCCTTATTCGGTGCAAGTCCCACTTGATAGAGTAGATGTGAATTTCCTCTATTCATTAGCTAGCAAGTAGGAGCAATTAAGATATTCTTTTTTTAGTGGATTTTTAATTTTGAAACTTTTTTAAGAGGTGAAAAAAGATGTGTTTAAGATTTTTTTTTTTTAGTTGAATAAATAGCCGTGAGAAAAAAAAAATTAATTGATATATATGATGTGACCCTTTGCTAATGAGGTTGAATTTTTGACTTTTTGGCGACGACCCCTTAATAACACAATAAACTACGAGGACAGAGAAAAAAAACAAAAAACAAAATTACATCGATAGTCCCTACATTTTAACCTTTTGTATTATTTTGGTCCTTATCATTTTAATTAACTTAATTTTGATCATTAATCTTAAATTTTGTGTCCCTTTGGTCTAATTGATAATATCAGTTAGGGATTCTGAAAGAAAACGGTCACTAAATTTGTTCAGGTTCACTCACTAAGTTGAACAATTTATAATTTTTCTATAAAAGGATGACACATGATACTTTTGTGCGCATTTTTCATAAACAAATACTAAAAATTGAAATTAATTTGATCAAATTAAGACAAAATCATAAATTTTAGATTAAAATCAAACCAATCAAAATTACAAAGAACAAAATAGTACAATGACCAAAGAATAAGAATCACTGGTGTAATTTGCCCTTCAAAAAAATAAAATAAAATAAAAATCCCAAGCCTTTGGCTCTATAAATACATATATTTGTCTCTCCATTAATGTATACAAGTTGATCAGCTCCATATCTCATCATAATAATATTCTATTTTTGACACCAAATGGAGCAAACAAATTCAACTTTTCTCAGTTATCTACTTAGTACATCTTTACTTTGTTTCATTTTCTTTTTCATGAACTCTCTTGAACTGATTACCACTGCCAAGGGAAATCCCAGTTTAGTTCTCACTAACGAGACAGACCATCAAGCACTGCTTGCAATCAAGGATTTGATACAAGGAGATCCTCTGGGTGCCTTAAGCTCATGGAATCATTCAATTCAGTTTTGCAATTGGCAAGGAGTCTCATGCGGTCGTCAACATCAACGTGTGACACTCCTAAACCTGTCATCTCTCGCATTGGTGGGCTCTGTATCTCCTCAAATTGGGAACCTCACCTTTCTTAGGAGGATTGATCTTGGTAACAACTTTCATGGCGAAATCCCATAAGAACTTGGCAAGTTGTTTTGTCTGCAGTACCTTCTACATTTGAATAACTATTTCCAAGGTGAATTTCCTACCAATTTGACTCATTGTTCACACTTGAGAGTTATCACTATGCGTGGTAACAATCTAGTAGGTAAACTTCCTACAAAGCTGGGTTCCTTGTCCTATCTCTCCTACTTGGTTCTTGCAGCCGATCAATCTCACTGGAGCTATCCCACTTTCAATTAGGAACCTTTCCAATCTACGTGTGCTTTCTCTAGCGTACAATAATATAGAGGGAAGCATTCCCACCTAACTTGGGCAGCTTTCCAAGTTGGAGTTTCTTCAGCTGTCAGCAAATAATTTGTCCAGTATGGTTCCCACTTCGCTTTACAACATCTCATCAATCTATTTATTCTCTATCTCTTCCAACCAATTGCATGGAATTTTACCACCATATTTAGGCTTGTACCTTCCAAATTTACTAGCATTTGGTGTCGGATTAAATCAATTCTATGGCCAAATTCCATCGCCAATAGCCAATGCTACGAGAGTTGTGCAAATTGATTTTGTCAGCAATTCTTTTACTGGGCCCATGCCTATGAATCTCGAAACCCTTTATGCTTTAGGAGGTGTAGGTGCTTCTAACAATTCACTTGGAACAAACCAAGCCAATGAATTAATGAGCTTCCTCACTTCTTTATCCAATTGTTCCAATCTACGAGTTCTGGATTTGGCAAAGAATCATTTTAAAGGTTTTTTACCCCATTCTATTGCAAATCTCTCCACCAAGATCACTTGGTTTGGTCTAGAAGACAACTATATATATGGAAACATACCTCTTGGTATTGGGAACCTTGTAAATTTGCAACACCTCTTTCTAGATCAGAACTTGCTTACAAGTAGTATTCCAAATTCCATTGGAAAACTCTCCTTGTTGGAAAAGCTCATGCTTCACAACAATAACATTTCTGGAGAGATTCCATCGTCTCTTAGAAACCTGAGTAGGCTTGGTGCACTTGACCTATCAACAAATATGATTAAGGGAAGCATTCCTATTTCTTTAGGAAATTGTACTAATCTACAACAAATTTATCTTGATTACAATCATCTCACAGGAGCAATACCTTATCAAATCTTTGGTCTGTTTTCCCTCATTTATCTATACTTGAGTCAAAATTACTTAACAGGACTACTACCACAAGAAGTGGGTAACATGAAAAATCTGGGTGGACTATTTGTATCAAAAAGTAAACTACTTGGAGAAATCCCTGCCACTCTCGGCAATCATGAATTTTTAGAATTCCTCTACATCGATGGTAACCTTTTCGAAGGTACAATTTCGATGGCCTTCAGACAATTGAAAGGTATTCAATAACTAGATGTTTCTAGGAACAACTTGTCTGGTCAGATTCCAAGGTTTCTCGAGGAGTTTCAGTTGTTTCAATATCTCAATCTTTCCTACAATATGTTTGATGGTGAAGTTCCGGATGAAGGAGTTTTCACAAACATTAGTGCCTTCTCAGTCGTTGGAAATAGCAAGCTATGTGGAGTAATTAAACTATTGCAATTGCCCGCTTGCCCAATGCAAGTCCTAAATGAAAGGAAACAATTTTTCAACCATAGAGTAATAGTTCTAATAGTTACTCTCACTATTGTTCTATTATCATTGTGCATTTTGGCTATTATTTACCAAAACAAAAGGTCAAGGCAGCAAGTCAAATTAGACTCACCTTTGCAAAACCAATATTTACAACTATCTTGTGGAGAAGTTTTTCAAGCAACAAATGGGTTCTTTCCATCCAACTTAATTGGTGAGGGAGGATATGGTTCTGTTTATAAAGGGATTCTCAACTCTGATGAAAAATTATTGCTGTGAAGGTGCTCAAACTACACGAACGTGGAGCGAACAAGAGTTTTGTTACAGAATGTGAAGCATTGAAGAACATTCGTCGTCGAAATCTTGCCAAGATAATTACAGCTTGCTCAAGCATTGATTTTAAAGGCAACGACTTCAAGGCTTTGGTCTTTGAGTTCATGGAAAATGGGAGCTTAGAAAATTGGTTACACCCAAGTCTTTTAGAGCAACATAAACCTAAGAACTTGAACTTCGTTCAATGGTTGATGTGGCATGTGCATTGGATTATCTTCACCATCATTGGGAAATGGCTTTTATTCATTGTGATTTAAAGCCAAGTAATATTCTTCTTGACAGTGATTTGTGTGCCCATGTTAGTGATTTTGGCTTGGCAAAGATTTTTTCAGTAACCAATGGAATTTCTATTCATCAGCGATCAAGTTCAATTGGGATTAGAGGAACAATTGGCTATGTTGCCCCAGGTAATTGTTTATTGCTTCTTACTTTGAAATTGATTAAGAAATATTATTTAGTTACATTATATTATTATCTTGCGGTGAACTAAAAATTAATTACGAGATTATATAGAAATTAAGCCATGTTTTGGAGATTATTTTCCTTGACTTTGCCTTATTGTTTGTATAGCTACCACAACAAATTAAATCAACCATTGTCCTACCCCTATGGTATTTGAACATAAATTTTAACCCTTGAGATAATTTTATCTTTTGAAATGTTGAACTTTTTCTTCTTTTTTTTTCAGCAAAAGAAATACAACTTATTAGTTCAACAATCATACCAAAAGTACAAATTTTGGGCATTTTTTTTAACTATTTCATATTGTAGAGTATGGTATAGGTGTGGAGGTATCAATGCAAGGTGATATGTATAGTTATGGAGTGTTACTACTAGAAATGTTCACAGGAAAAAGACCAACTAATAACATGTTTACGGGCAATGAAAACCTCCATAGCTATGTAAAAATGTGTCTTCTAGAGCAAGTAATGCAGATCGTTGATCCCCAAATCATATGGGAAATGGAAGAGGAGCCAAGTAGGAGCATGCAAAGTAGTACAACCAACATTTCTAAACTAGAGGCTTGCCTAGTACCAGTCTTTCAAATTGGAGTTTCATGTTCTGCTGAAATGCCAAGTGAAAGAATGAGTGTAAAAGATGTTCTCAAAGAACTACACAAGATTAGAAATGTATTTCTTGGGGTTAGGGACAAAGGCATTAGGATGGAAGAAGAAATTCTTAACTAAAGCCGCATCTGTAGGTGATTTTGATGTTCTAGGATTTTCTTTCCCTCACTTTTTTTCTACCCCCTCTTTTATTTTATGAATCTGTAATTGTTAAGCTAGTAAAGGCATAAAAGTGATTGCGCTTGTGGCATTGTCATCAAATATTTTTAACTAGTTAAGGTTTCTATATGTTTATACATATGCCTTCTCTATCTTGTTTAGTCATAGTTTCATTTTTTGGTTTATGTTCTCTAGTAGTTCTATTGTACATAAGGGAGCTTGGCTCAAAATAAAAAATTGATGTCATAGAAGCTAAAAGAGAAAACAAAAACAAAAAAAGATTTAGCTCATAATATGATGGATTATGAAGTTATCATACATCAAATACTAACCAATATCACTCATATAAATTATTGAGCAATAGGAAAAATGTTTCATTTATGTTGATTTCACTCTCATCATATATTAATCTAAAATTTAATCTGATGGTGTAATAGTATCAGTGACATATTAGTTAGATGCAAACTAAAACTTAATCAATGTATATAGCTAATGGGAAATATGAATAATCTTTATTATGAGGAAAACAAAAATTTACTAGTAGAAAGTGTTAAAAAAATAAAAAAACACAATGCTAGCAACAATCTTCTAGTCTATGACCTACATATAAAAGCAGGAAAATCTGCCTCTAACATCAATGTGTCTAACCCAGTTGAAATGGAAAATTTACCCTTGTTGAATATTGCCGAGCAATATCTCCATCAATTGGGTCTTCTCCAGCAAGCTGTTCATCACCTCTTCCCGCGTGTGCTGCAGCTTTCCACTCAGGCTTCTTCCACAAGTTCTGCTATTTTAAGAGGTGTAAATTGTTACCTTGCTACAAACTACTCTGAGTTTGGTCCAAGAAACAAAAGAGGCATGGCATTCCTCAACTACCATATTCCAGTAGCTGTGAATTCCATTTCTTACTTCCATTGTCCTATGTTTGCTTCATTGAAAATTGTTTTCAGATGTCTGCTTATGAGTTTGGTTAGTGCCAACATTGAATTGAATTTGTTTTCTGTTCAAATTAATGTTCATGCATTTGTGCTTTGGTTTGAAGTTCTTATTAATATCTGTAAATGAATCCCTTATTCCTACTTGAGCCTCAACATTTTAAGCTTCAGTTGAAATTGTTGTTTTTAAATAAGTACTTATGAACAACAAAGTCAGTAGTTGATGTTGAAGCACCATAAGAAGAATAGGAAGACAATTTTTAACAAAAGAAAAGAAGACAATAGTTCATTTGATCTTAATACAATTATCTGCCTTTGTTCAAGTGCGCATTCGGTAAAACAAAATAGTAATTTGCACAAGATACAATTATCTGCCTTTGTTCAAGTGAGCATTCGGTAAAACAAAATAGTAATTTGCACAAGATATTGAAAATTCCTTGTTTTGGTTTTGTTGGTTGCTTGGTGTTTGTTTGAATATAATTTGAATTAGTTTTCTTTGTGTTTTAATAAAATTTGAATTACCAAAAAAAATTAAAAATTGAATGTTTGTAACTTTGTAAATGCATCAAGTTGTGTTTAGTCTTGTGTGGATACAACACAACGTAACTTTAGACAAGTTCAGTTCCAAAGTGTTCTTTTAGAGTTGGCTTTGTGCCAATTCAAATGGCTTACAATTTTTTTCTTTTGCTTTTTTAATTTACCTTTTTTTGATTTGCTAATGATATTAAACATAGTTCAACTTACCTTTTAAGCATAATTTTAGTTGGATTTTCACTGTGAATGAAAAGATTAGAGAAACCATTGTTCCTCAAGTAATCTTTTCAAAGATTCTAATTCTGGTGAGAGGTGAATTTCAAATCTTTTAATCTTGCTTTCCTCATGCATGCAATATCTAATTGTCATGATCTTAGGTGACATTTGTGAGGTAGTTTGGATGTTTTGCAATCTTACTTGGACTACTTTTATATAATCTGTAGTGAAATAGTAAATGTTAGCAATTCAAAACTCTTTCAGTGCCAACAGTAAACAGTCCCTTCCAAAAGATTTTTAGTAGAACAACAAAGCTAACCCTGAAGTTAGTTTAGGATCTAAATTTGCCCAGATATGGAGAACTCTCAGTAAAATGAAACTTCTTTTGTTTTATAGCCGCGTAGATGATACGAAAGGATATGAATATTGCAAATTACATTTTTTGTTGTCAAGAATATTTTCAAACTCATTCATTTTTATTTTTATTATTATTTTTTTCATTTCAAACTTTTCCATTTTCATCATTAGAAACACAAATTTTTGTAATACAGGTTTGCATAATTATAGTGAATTCTCCAAGGCACTGAGTCAAGAAAGGCAACATAAGTGGCAATAAGGCCATATTTGTTGACTGTAATCATAGCTAGAATACTATATATGGAGCATATTGAGTTACTTGTGTTTAAGCTCGATTAGGAGCTTTTTTTCAATGCCAACTTCTAGAGTTCTTTGATTTTTCAAGTTGATCCCAAACTTGGCTCATTAAGCATTTAGAAACCATCCTTCTGCATGAATGTAGACACCCCATTTTTGACCGACCTTAAGACTCAGACGTCATCGATTGAATGCTCGGTGATTGCGCATGTTGTGCTCGTTCTGAGGTTTCGGAGTTTTGGCTGAGGTCCTTACCCCCGGACCTCGGGACCCTTTTATGCTTTGCCTCGGTTTGTGGACCAGGTCTTGCTTTCTCTTCCCAGAGCCCCCGGACCTCGGGACCTTTTTATGCTTTACCTCGGTTTGCGAACCAGGTCTTCCTTTCTTTTTCGGGAGGGAGGGAGAGGTCTTGTAGACCATCTCTCAATGGCCGTAGGCTACTTTTCGTGGTCGCAGGCCACTGTTTCTGTTTGGAGACCAGTTTTCGGTTTTCGGAGCCGTCGGCCGCGCGCCTCGGTTCAGGACCGCTTAACATTCTCCGTTTGGTACGGTTTTTGGCACACACCTTGTTTCCTCTGTCTAGAGGAACACAGCGGCCCGGGAGACCACCTTTGTGGTCGCACGTCACTTTTGGTGCTTAACAGCTTGTTTTCGAGGCACCCAGCTACGCGTTTTGCCCCCAGAACCCTCGTTTTGCATCGGTGTTGGTTTATTTTTGGCATGAACCTTGTTTTCATTGTTTGGAAGGTGGTACTAGGGTGGGAGACGACCTAGAGGTCTTGTAGACCATCTCTCAATGGCCGTAGGCTACTTTTCGTGGTCGCAGGCCACTGTTTCTGTTTGGAGACCAGTTTTCGGTTTTCGGAGCCGTCGGCCGCGCGCCTCGGTTCAGGACCGCTTAACATTCTCCGTTTGGTACGGTTTTTGGCACACACCTTGTTTCCTCTGTCTAGAGGAACACAGCGGCCCGGGAGACCACCTTTGTGGTCGCACGTCACTTTTGGTGCTTAACAGCTTGTTTTCGAGGCACCCAGCTGCGCGTTTTGCCCCCAGAACCCTCGTTTTGCATCGGTGTTGGTTCATTTTTGGCATGAACCTTGTTTTCATTGTTTGGAAGGTGGTACAAGGGTGGGAGACGACCTTTTCTCTTGGAGACCACTTTTCTCTTCACCAGCCAGTTTTCTTGTCGAGAAGTTGGTTTTCTTGGTCTTTGGGCCACATTTACTGGTCTCCCACCATACCACTAGCTTGCATTCAGTTGGGAGACCACCAAATGGAGCCACCGACCAGCTTTTATCTGGAAGGCCACTTGACCTGGTCGGCCGACTAGGGGAAGTGGTCGGCTGACCACCGTAACTAGTCGGCCTGTTCCCTCCAGTTT